AGCTCAACCAAATTTCAACCCTGAATCCAACCAAGTAGTTCAATTCTGAAGACTGCAGAATCAATCACTGTGAGAGGTGCAGCAAAAAAGTGTTCCTATTTAACTTTCTATACCATCTGAGATGGGAACATATGATCCATGGTGAATTCTGTCTCCTTCCACTCTCTGTCTATTCCCCAGGTGTGTGTTTCTCATTATTGTTGGAGGGAAGGAAAAAAACCAGAGAATATTGAAATTGCCACACTTCAAGGCAACGTGTTTTGAGAAACTTCCAAAACTAAAAGCTACCACCAGTCTCCAAGCACTGTCTCACTGCACAGCTGGAGAGGACCATCAGGGCTTGAGGAGATGCCATCTGTGCAATTTCAGGGCCACAAAGGTCTTAGAAAGTGTTAATGACATTTCTTAAAATGTCTTTACTGTGGAAAACTTCAGAGCATCTGTCATTTGTAAATTTTAACAGTGGGAATATCCTGCAGAAGAAAAATTCGAATCTTAACCTGATGTATTGGTTAAATATGGATTCTCTGGCACAAGTGACTTTTTTTTAGTATTTGTGTGCCCTGCTAGGATTAAGAAATACAACAGCAATTAAAGTAGATGCACTCTGATAACTTGCTTGTGCCTCAGTGCTATTAATATCCATGTATCTTTTTAGCTAGTTTCAAACAGGAGACCAAAAGAATACCCCACAAAATGCTGAGGCAATACCTTGCATCATAAATTGCTGTGACTGTAATGAAATTACACCACTTTATTTTATGAAGTGTATTTTGTCAAGCTCTTGACAATGTCCCCCTGTTATCAGGGGCTACCATGTGTCCTACAGTGTAAAGCAGACATTGCCATTTGTGTCTCAACTTGTCTTTGAATTTCCTGGCACTTTAACTCACTCGATAAATGCAGCTTTCTTTTCTTCTTGAATCAGACACAGCTATTTCCCAGTGGCGATAAACCTGAAAAAACATCCTAAAAGCTAGATAGATACATCTCTTTCACATTTATTGTGGATGTAAAATACTCTGCAAAGAATATAAGCTGCTGTCAGGCATGTAGCCACAAGATGGGTGTTTTTCTCACATATGTATCCATTTCTTTTAATAATGAATAATGGACTTTATATTTAAAAGTGATGTTTCTATGAATGTGCTAGATTTTGCTATATTTCTTTCACATGAGTATATTCCCATCATGGCAAACTTCTCCCAAAGCTTGCCTTGGGGGTTTTTGTTTAAAGTAATGCGCTTTAATGAAAAAGAGCTGCTGAAATTTGTCAGCTTCTTCCAGCGTGATTGCATTTTGGTGGTGGTTTAAAAAAATCTTTACCCACTTTATGATCTTTATGCTTGTTCCAAAATCCCTGTTCATTTTTAAAAGTAAAAAGATATATCTACACATATATTACCAAAAGCCCTAAAACTGCCTTGGACCTTTTGCATGAATAGTCTCATTGAAGCCAATGAATAATAGAGGTAGACTTCAGCTGTGTGCAATTTTCAAGCTTAGGCTGTAGGGTAGATTTCAAATATTACAAGCAATCTAGAGACATACACTTTGTGTGTAGTTTTCAAAGCCAGCAATATATTTTAAGGGCTTAATATCTAATGAGAAATGGATGAAACTGATACCTCGTTGCCAAGAGATGATTTTGGAAATTATCAGCCTTGACTCAGTGAAATATAGGCATCTTCTGAAGAGTGAGGACATGTGAGTGAAGTACCCTTTTACTTGTAAAGGTAAGCGAGTGTGCAAGTTCTTGTAAGTTTTTTGGTTTTTGCATTTTTCTTGGTAGAAGTTCAAGTCCTCTGGCACCAGGCAGATGGGTATGCCAAACTGTATGGCTGCAGTAATCTGTGACCCACAGCTTCTTGGTTATTTGTTTTCTCCAGGGGGCTGTAGGGCAGACTAACTGAAAAATAGTACTATTTCCTGTAAGATTTGCTGTAGTGCTGAAAAGTGAGAAAATGTTTAAAGGGGACTGGCATGTCCTTCAAGACATGCACTGTAAGCCCTGCTGGATGCAAAATGGTCTCTGGGGTGCTGCTGAGGAGATGGACCATCCTGTGGGGCAGCAGCTGTGCTCCTGCAGCCCAGGCTGCACAGGTGTGCTCCCACCAAGCAGCTCTGCACCGAGCCAGCACGGGAAGCAAAGGTGACCTGCAGCACAGCGTTCTGGGAGCAGCTGGCATGTAACTTACAGGGGACAAAAACAGGGTGTGCCTCACTTTGTTCTGGAAAATGCTTCCTAACTACAGGCTGTGTGCTGGATTTACAGACAATTTATTCCTGTGGTTTCAGGGAGCTACCTACTATTCAGGTCCTCTTCAAATCCAGCTAGCTTCTTCTGTATTCTGAGTATAGAAGTATCTGTACCCTGACAAATACAAAGTCAATAAGGTCGTCAGGAATCATAATTTTTGGAGATGAATGTTCATTTATGAATGCTGGTGGAAATCTGCAACTAGAAAGGTATACACACACATACTCAAGAAATAGAAATGCAAAGTGAAAATATTCCCTCAGAGACTTACTCTGCAAATGTTTCAGGCTATGCCAGACTGGCCCATGCAAGAGGGTTATTATAGAATCGCAGAACAGGCTGAGGTGGAATAGATCCATCAGGACCATTGAGTCCTGATCCTGGACAGGACACTCCAAGAATCACATCATGTGTCTGAGAGTGTTGTCTGAATGCTTTTTGAACTCTGTCAGGCTTAGTGCTGTGACCACTTCCTTGGAGAGGCTATTCCAGTGCTCATCCACCCTTTGTGATAAAAACTTTTTACATATCTAGCCTAGACCCTCCCTGACACAGCATCATGTTTCCTGTGCTAGCCTCACAGGATCAAATGGTCCTTCCTGGCACAGAAGCAACAAAAATGAGCAGCAAATGAAATGTGCAGCCTGACCATGTGATCACACACTTGTCCAAAACAACGATCAGCATCTGTTTTCCAATGACAGGCCTTGGGTTATTGTTCAAGGGCTCCCTTGATTATATGGCACCATTGTTAGGTGTCCCTAATGGTTGGCTGTAAACCCGAAACTTGATCTCCCTTTCTTACTCCATACTGTTCTAGACAGGCAAGCACTTCCTCTAGAGTCTGGACTCATTTCTCTGTAGAGATGTCCAAAATTTCACCAGGTAGCACTTAAATGGTGTCAATCTAATGTTTCAGCAAAGAAACACATTTTAGAGGTTATCAGATAAAGATGAAACCTGTAGGAATTCTGTAATCTATGTAAATTCTTCTTCAGTAGGAGGAAAATTCTTTCAATATGGGAGTAGAATTTCTTCAAATCAATACTTCCTTTTCCCTTAATAAATCTTTAAGTGTACCTTTAAGAGTTAAAAAAAAATTAGCACCAAAAAAACCCAAACAAAAAACCCCCCAAAAACCAAAAAACCCCAAACCAGCTCCTATCAGAACATAGCCTGAAGGAGTAAATGAAGCTAGAAAGGGCCAATGTTTCTGTTATTGATTTATATCAGATGTTTCAGTGATGGGCAGAAGTAAATTAAGTGGAGTCTGGTCTTCAGAGGCATCTGTGCCTTTTTTTTTAGTTGGATTATGTTGCTTGAACTTGCTAGTAGCTCTTCAGAAGCATTCTCAGCTTGTTGGGAAAATACTTTGTCATAGAGTAATTTGGTTTTTTTCTTCTGCAGTGTGGTGTCCATGGTGTCTTATTCTGCTACCCATTTATGGGTGTTACTCCATATGGGAACCAGGCAGGCAAATGCTTTCTTTCCACACAAAATGATATCTGGATTAGCTAGTTTTGTAGCTCATATATAAATGTCTAGTGGAGCTCTCAGGATTTTTTTGAATTGCAAGTAATATACAAACTGAGTTATTTGGTAGTTTAAGTGTGACTAATGCTTGTTTTACATAGTTCAAGTTGATGATTACAAAGTTTGAAGCTTGGTTGAATAGAATTTAGTACCTAATACTCTGCAGAGCTTGTTTTCATTTTGCATTTAATCAATTGGTTTTTCCTTTAATGGATTCTCTTTGAAATTTTATGTTTGTACCAATGCACAGACTTCACTATTGCTGTGCTGCATTACCAAGGGCAATATCAGTTTAAATCACTTCATGATAAAACTTTGCATAATCTGCTCATACAAACTAATTAAATGTCAGGTCATTGTAATACAGAGCTCATATTATCACCATGGGTCACTAGAAACAGCAATTAGTAATTCATGTGTAATCCAGTTAAATTCAAATTAAGAAAAAGAATGTCAAGTCAGAGTTTTGTTCCTAATTCCTAGTTTTTATCATTTTGTACAAGTTGATGGGGGCACTTAAACATACAGCTTCAGAATTGGTTTGTAATTTAATTTGATTTATACTGCTCAAGCATTGCTTTTAGCTTTCTTTTTAGGTTGTTCTAACCAGTGGTCATATGAGTGCTTGTACTTGGAAATTAATTAACTTTGGAACATATACATATTTTGAATATGTTAATCCTTCACTAACTACACTGTTATTTTACTGACGGATATTTAATGGTTTGAAGGACCTCTGCTTTCAGCTTTCACAAGCAGAAATAAAAAGTGGCCGATTGTCAGGTGAACTAAGCAACTCATGAATAAGTGAAAGGGCACCATGGTAGAAAGCCACGGAGGTTGTGCACCCTGCCGTGTGCCAGGTGAGACAAGTGAGAAGGCAGGAGAGTGCTTTCTTGCCCAGCTGCCCGGTGGGGCAAGGGCTGTGTGCTGGGGAAGCCCCAGCTGGGGCTCTGTCATGCCAGCTGTCCAGCTCATCCTCTGGGTTGTGGCGTCTGTGCCTGCGGGACAATGTTCTGCAGGATGCTTTGTCTTAGGCTGCCACATGAGATCCGTCTCTGCAGCCAAGGGCCGGGCAGCTGCGGTCAGTGTGTCCTTCCTGGAGCACTCAGGCTTCTGTAAATGTACTGCAGCCAGAGCAAAATCTCCACTGCTACAGTCCTCCTGCTATGGCTTTTTTATTCTTTGGAGCTCCAGATAAGGAGGGCATGCTCAGCATTAGGTACCATCAGCTTGCTCTCTATATAGTTTTTATAGGATTTTCCCTTTAATTTTCCTAGGTATATTTGGATTCAGGCTTCTTAGCATTTGCCTTTCTGTGGTTAAAACCTCATTAGGCTCCTATCATATTTCAAACTAAATAGAATATCCTGACTAAAATGTCAGTGACATTTTTGTAATGGCTGTGACTGAAAGAAGCTAAAATACTGGTTGTAATTTATTTATATAGCATGCAAAGGTCTTAGGTGATTTAGAGGGAAGTCTAAAGACAAACAATCCTTCTGATCATATAATAGCGTATTCTCAGATTATTTTAGCTTCATCAGAAGACTTTTAGTTGGCGTGAGCAGTGTCAGAGCTGGATTAAAAGTCACAGTATGGTGATACTCACTATTCCTAGCCCTGTTCTTCAGATCCATACAAAACCAGTTACTGGTTTCAATGGGTGATCTGTTGTGCATTGCTTTCTCACTACAAGATTCTATCAAAATCTTTTCAAAAAAGATAAAAGGAGCAGCATGTTCTAGGGCATTTCTATTTTGATGAGTCTCAAATTTAAATATCTAACTTCAGCTTCCGGGTTTAAAGGAGATGGACTTTTTTTTTTTTTTTTCTTAGCAAAGTGAAAATTCAAATGCTAAATCACAATCAGCCAAGCCTGTCACTGCCAAATTAGGGATGACAAGTATACCCTGCTGTGTGTAATTCCAGAGAGATGTTTTCAGATATGAATTTGGCGTTCAAGAAAGGCATGATTTCTTTGTAGCTTTCCTGTCACATTCACTTTGTAATACAGTGATTACTGAGCATTCAAAAATAAGTGGTTACCCCAAAATATTTTTTGCACTCAATTTATTGGTGTGTGCAGCACAGCTGTGTGTTGATAACCTGTAATAGTGCAAAATACTGGAAACTTGAACAGCAGAATCAGATAAACCTAGAGATTAATCAAGTGCTGTGCTAATCAATTTTTTATATTTAATTAAAGTGTTTTGCTTTGGAAGGTTGCTGTGAGAGCTGCAGAATTTCCATTCCCATCCCAGGAGATGGATACCAAACCCAGCCAACCCACCAGCCAATGGTACATGTTGGAATCTGTGGGTATTGGTGATTCCGAGATTGTAGAAAGTCTCTGTCTTTCTGCCCCGTTGCCAAAGAAGAAGCCATAGTTCGTCTGTGCTGGTTTCAAGGTTGTTTATTTTTGCTTATCTATAACATGTTCTGCTGCCCTGCCGCAGGTCTGTCCTGCAGGGCAGTGTGTGGGGCTCTGCCCCTCAGTGGGATGGTACAAACATTATATACCAGAAATTACGTGTACTATATTTACAATAATGTGCCAATATCTATCATCTACGTTGAATAGTGTGTCCCTAGCCTAAACCAATAGAAAAATGCCAACATCACCAAGAACATGGAGGTAAGGAAGAAGAAGGAGGAAGAACAGGTTCAGGCCCACTTTCCTCCATCTTAGAACTCCTGACCCCCCTGTACAAAGTAAAACCCCCCTGTACAGGTGTTAAAACCCCCCTGTACAATACTAAAAAATTTTACCCTCTAATTTGTGACTACTTTTACCATATCATCTAACCCTCTGTGACTGCTTGTTCCACCTTTAAAGTTGGTAATTCATTCCATGGTTCAAACTCAAAATCACAGCTGTTTTCTGCTGTTTGCCAGGGTCTAAAATGCTTCTGACCAAGGCCTGGAACCTCTAAAAATGTCTGAGGGACATTTTGAGTTCCGACAGGTACAGAGAGAGGGCTGGTAGGTGTCACAGGGAGCTGGAGCTGCCACAGCTGATGATGGAGCATGGAGAAGGCTGGGATACACTTATGTCTCTTCTTTTCTGAACTGATGAATTAGTAAATATCACACAAGGCTGCATCATTCTATATCAGCTGAGATCCTGGCCTTGTATTTTGGAGGAAAGAGTGTTTTGAAAAGAGAGAGAGACAAAGTTATGAAAAACCTGGAGATGGGAAGTTGGCACACTACTAAGAGCAGTGGAGCTGTATTTAAGTACTGCTGTGCTCTTTGCCATTGTTTCAAAAAGGCAATTAAGCAGAGTTCATTAAGATGGCATCAAAGGCAGAGAGCTCCCACCATCTATTATGCAAGCACTACAGCAAGTCTGCTATTCATGCATGTAGAGAAATGGTAGTGGATATTTTGTTTTCCCACTTTAAAAAGTAAATTCAACATCATTTATAAACAATGAAGTCAATAAGAAACTTGAAGAATGTCTCTGACAATAAGCCTGCTTTAGAGTAAATATCTCTGGGTGTCTTTAAAGGTTATTTTAGACAGTACAGAGTTTACAGAATCCCAAATGGGAGAATTTACTATCTTTATGTACATTAAGAGACCATGACATAACTCCCTTCACACTGATGTTGACAGAAAACTGTACCTGGTTTTGAATACTCTGATTTGTTTTCTAAACATAGTCTTAGATCGGGTATGCCCTACAGAGCAGCAGGAATTCTCATTTACCTCACCTTGTTCTAGCCTAGGCACAGTAGCAGTGATGCTGCTGCTGCTCTGTGCAACTTGTCTCAGGCAGTGAAGACAGAGGAAGAGCCCGCCATGAGCAATCAGGCACCATGTGGTTGTCCCCTTCCCCTCAAAATCCTACAGTACTTTATAATTTTAAGATAGATATAACTTTTATTTCCTTGTGACATTGGGTCATTTGATTTTCTAGTAATAATGGATAAAATTTTTACTTTTACTTAATAAAAAAAAGAGTGCTTTTTTTTTTTATTTTTTTTTTTCCCATGAAATTGTGTGCTGCTGGAATATGATGGTTTTTAAGAAAATACCTTGAATGTTAAAAAAAAAAAGTAGGTAGAAGTAATCACTATCTCAAGTGGGCATCAGCTGAAAGAAAGCATGTTTTCTCATGAGGCATTTAAATGTTTGGAGATCTTTAGTTATGAAAGAAGTCCTGTCAAAGAAATTATATTGAAGTGGCTTGGTGTACATGGAAATGTGAAAGTGAATAAGGATAAATTTAAACTTGAATTAGCTGTGAAACTGGGATGCTTTCATCACTGGTAACGGATGAGTCAAAATAAAGTGCAAGTGTACTTAAGAACTTATAGGTTAAGTTTGTTTTGACCTGTGGGTGCAACAGCTCAGAAGCAGCCTGGTCTCATTCGTGTTGCACAAGCTAATGGAAATGCCAGGATTAATTGCCTGTGCACCCATATGATGACATGAAGCTGTTTGTATGCACTCAGCAAATAAAAGTGACACAGATGTTTCTTCTGAAAAATAAGTGCATATCATTGTACCAACTTACACAATGAGAAGGGCAAGGTTACTGATCTTGGTTTCTGGAGATGTTACAACAGCCACATCACCAGTAGACTCCCTCAGTGTCCCCCCCAGGGCGATATTTGCAGAAGTTGTATGCCACATATTGTGGTCTAGGTGAGTACATGTAGAAAGGAAGCACTCACAGACATGCAAAAATAAAGCACAAACTGGTGTTTTCTGACCATGTGTCTCTATGAATTTAGCACTACTGCCAGAACAAGTAAGCTGCCATTTCATTTGGGTTTTTAGGGGACGATCTGTGGCTATGTATGGAGATACTAGTGAAATAATACTAATTGATAAAAATATCCATTGCTTTTTGTGGACAGCCAGAGGAGTTGCCTTTGTGCAGACCAGTACTACCTCTGTGCCCATGGAAACAGCATCCATTAAAAGGAAAACTGCAAAATTCTTATGTGCATTAGCAGGAGCATAGAGGGAATGAGATCCTGGTTATAATAAATCCCTTACCTTTTTACATTCCTTCCTTTCACTTTGGTAACTGCAGCACCAAGAACTTTGAGTTCAACTTAATGCTACATCTGTTCACTTCTTTCTGCCTCTGTAGCTCTGAGGCATTGGGCTGAAATGTTTCCCAGGGCTCCTGCTAGGGAACTGCATTTCCAAATGTGCTTCACTCAAGCTTTCTTAATAACCAAAAAATTCTACATGTCAGCTGGTGGACTCTGGGAATGCAGACTTCCGCAGCACAGGGAACACCAGGTTGCTTTGGTCTGAGAGGCAAACCATATCACGTGCAAAAAAGATACTGAAAATGCTCATTTTCATGGCATGGAGCATCACTGCTTGTGCTTGTTCCTTGAAAAGCAGTTCATTTAAACTGCCCTGCTTCGTTCCCATAAATGTAATCTATAGAAGTAATGATCAGCCAAGCAAGCTCTAAGGGTCCTGGCACCGTCAGGCTCTTTAGGATTCATTGTAGCAGGGGAGAACATCTGCAGTCTGAAGCTTCGGGAGTTTGGAACGAAAGATTATCCTGTGTGTTTAACTGGCAATGAACTATTTTTAAATAAATGCCTCTCCTATTTGTTAACACAGAGAAAGGACAATAAAAAGGAAAACGTGGTCTCATATAGCTTTAAAAGGGACCAGGCCATTACTCCAGAATTCTTGTTTCTTTACTTATGGCTTTTCCACACACTAAGTGTGTCTTGTTGATGACTGTGACATTTCTAGCAGTCAGGGTATATTCGTGCACTGAGGTCCACAGTCCTGAATGAGAGCTGAAATTGTTTGAGATTCAGAGAAGCTCGTCATCCTGCTGTCTGCCTTAAGTATGTGGTGGTGGGCAACCTTTCATTATATGTTCCACCAGGGAAAAATCACACATCCCCTCCCAGTGACTGACAAGAGGCAGTGAAATCTCGTCGCTTTCTGCTCTCCATCACCCTGCCTCAGCCCATCAGCTAACTGACAGATGGGACATGGTCCTGATGTATAGGTACTGGGAGATTAAAGAACAACTCTACAGCAAAATAAACCCACAGGACACAAGTAGCTTTTAAAATGACCTCAGGAGACATGTCAGTCAGCACACAGTATGGGATTTTCTCAGGTAGGAATTGCATTTGCAGGTTGTGTGTGTTGTTTAAACTGTAAAATGCCCTACTGCCAACCATTTGCCAAGCTGTTTCTTCCTGAGATGAAGGTGGGAACTAGATCTAGGGCTCCCTGTGTTCATAAATAGAGATTATAGATCTGTATCTAGTGTTATCTATCCATTTACCTGTGTACGCTGAATGTCTCTTTTTAAAATGACACTAAGTTTTGTGTAAAGTGGAGCAAAATTCTCCTGTGATGTTGATTGCAACACACACTGTGCACATTTCTTATTTGTGGGGGACAATGACTTAAAAAGGTTTTGAAGCAGAGAGAAGAACGTGGGTCTTTGTTTAGTTTAATGGCAAATCACATTTGTCAAAAGTGCAGATAAGGGAGCCTCACCCCAAGCAATTTCTGTAACAAAAATTGGAATAAAACTTGACCCTGGAATCTGTGAATTCTGATCTCAGTGTGGGAGTTCTGCTTGCAGGACAGGGGTGTGCTCAGTCGTTGTATTTAATAATACAAAGGGCTTTGCCATGGTGTCTGCCTTTCATGCCCTTCCTCCCCACCTAAGGGGAGAATTTTAGCCTAGGATTATTTTTTTTCCCCTGTGGAGACAAGCAGTTTGTGAGCTTTTAAAACCCAAAGCAGAGGCTCTTAGTAGCTCAGCAGTGATTTGTGCTGTGGTGAGCTGAGCTGGTGCGTGTGAAGCTGTTGGTGAGCAGGAAAGCAGCAGTGTTCCATGAGGGCAGCTTCCCTAACTAGCATCACATAAAGTAATTCTTTTGTTCATCTGAGGATGGCTCATTTTTTGTGCCACTCAAATTTGTAGATATTTGGGGGAATGAGTCTTTCATGGGATGGTGGCTTCTTTGTCCCTTACAGGCAAAATCATTTGTGAGATACAATCTTCAAGTTGGGGTATTTGACTGCCTCCAGTAATGGAGAGGGGAGAGTAAAGAGTTGAAATCAGTGTATTCACAGGTTAACTCTCAGGTGTTTACAAGGTATTGCACAAAGCAGATCTGTATGGTTGGCTGAAAACCAAATATACCTTTTAATTGCTCTGAAGTGGTCTACTCTCAAGAAGAAAACTTGAATAATTTTTCAGTGGTCAAAGGCAGTAAAGACTGCTTCAGAATTTCCCATTTAATATTTTTACATTTTTTGGTCTCCTTACCCTATATACTGATAGGCTGTGTAGCACAAGGCAATTTTGAATGATGAAAGAAAGAGGAAAAGAGCTTTTGCAGCATCTGGAGCCGCTGAAGAAGTAGAGACAGAATTCTCTTTGGCCGCAGCAGGAAAAGCTGGGGAAGGTCTACTGAGGAAATTAAAAATCGGCCAAGCCCAGTGTTTAGGTCTTGATCTTTCAGTCAAAGCAGCAAGACTTCTGGTGTCAGATCTCTAAAGAACTACTGGAGCTCCTTTAGGGGAATCCCATCTCTTCTGACATCTAGGGGAGATAAGGAGTAGCCCTTCAGGTCGCTTGTTGAGAGGGGACGTGCCTCGGCTGAGCAATGATCCTTTTCAGCCTCCTGCCCCTTCTTGCTGCCCTGGGCTGGGCAGGAGAGAAGGTGTCAGAACAGGGGACCCTTGTGCTGCAGCCAGGCTGAGGTCTGCCTCTCCTGTGCAGGAACCAAGCTCTTGGCTTTGGGCTAAGCAGCACTGGCAAATTTATAAGCAACTGAAAGCACTCTGGAAAGGAAATATATATGATTTCATCTACTATGGCATGCTGTAGAGGGTTGAATTATTAAAATGCACGAGAGTTTCTCTTTTGAGCCAAATCAGGAGCTGTGGCTTTTCTCTGATCTGAGGCCTGGCAGTCGGTCAGATTTTTGCTTTTGGTGTACAGTAAGTACAAGATGTTGCCGCACCTACCTTCCCTTGATTCTCTGAGATGAAGATTTGCCAGGTGCCTCCTCTTTGTGGCTGCCTCTAAGTGCTGTGATCATGTGGGCTGCAGCCTGAGACAGC